GCTTCGTACATGGTACTTTTCAGTGTCTCTGATATTTCTGTGCTCCATCTTCTGCGTGGTCGACCTCTGGCTCTGTTACCGCTGTATCTGTATAACATTGCTCTCTGTGGTGCCCTGTCTGATGCTAATCTTGTTACGTGGCCAAACCATTTAAAGTATCTCTCATCAGCAAATAATAGTTAACATGGATTGATAATCCTGTAAACAAAACTTCTGCAAACATAAACGTAAAAGAAATTTATGAATGGGTGAGATCAGATGTTATCAACCCTTGCCAGAGAACTCTAGTATTTATCTGACAAGACTGGGTTGATCTCAGAGCTGTACACTGTCAGAAGCTAATTGCTCTCACTGCACTGGCAAGTGTATCTAGTCTGCTGCCCAGACATGATATAGCTCCCCACAAGAGAATTTCAATACAGTTGTCAAGCTTTTAGAGTTGTATTCACTGGTGTCATGTAACATCTTAGTGTTGTCATGTCACAGCATGGCAGTGTCAGGTCACACCTTGGCAGTACGATGCTCAGACCTAAAGTGTCATGTCATGTCACACATTGGCAGTACCAAGTCACACCTCAGGAATGCCCTGTCACACCTCGGCGGTGTCATCTTACACTGTGGCGGTGCATGCCACACCTTCGAGGTGACATGCCACACCTTCGAGGTGACATGCCACACCTTCGAGGTGACATGCCACACCTTCGAGGTGACATGCCGAACCTCAGCAGTATCTTATTCAGACTTCAGAAGTGCCATGTCACACTTTCACGGTGCCCTTCTTACACCTTGGTGGTGCCATGTCACAAGCTGCAGTTCATCGACAGGAAGAGCAAACTAAATGAGGCTTGCTGATTCAGGAATTCAGTGCCTGATGTCTTTCACTGGTTAGGTCCCTACATATAGTCATGCCCATTTGTACCTTTCTCAAAAAAAACAACTTGCATAACAACAAGATGGCCACAGAGCACTTCAAAGAGCCCTGCATGATTCTGGGTCTTAACCTGACTGTATACATCAAGACAACCAGGACAGAGAATCTAACTCCTTCAGACCTATAAGTTCCTAGCTAATGTCTACAAGAGTAAATAATGGCAATACTAAACACATGGGTATACTACTTCCAAAGGGGCCAAATATACAACAATTCTTCTGCCTTCAATTCCTCAATGCAGTATAGGCCCTCAACCAACTTATGCAAAGTTGTTCTATTCTTCACTATCGAATACAGCTTCCCCTTCTTTTTAACTCCACTCTCTAGCTCCCTTCTCCATGTGCTTTTTGGCTTTCCTTGATGTGGGTTTCAGTGCAAAAACATTCTAGTTATATTGTTAAAAAGGTTTTTCTCAACGTGTGTCCTATCCAACATCAGCGTCTTTTCTTCACCTCATGGTCCACTGGAACTTGAATAGTTCTCTCCCTACATTAGTGATTCTATCATTCCATTTAATTCCCTCTATTCTGAGCAGGTAATGAATGGTCGTAGGTTATTTATACAATCCTTGCAGGAAACAAATATGTTGTTAGAGTTCTTCAGAGCTCTCACTAAACACAAGATGTAAAAACATAAATGTCACGATGACTTGAAAATGTGAATAATGCCCATCTATGCCCAATGTGTTGTTTGGGACAGAATGTGTTAGGGGAATTCCTCACATACAGTGATGTTGGTTTTTAGTTCAGCTCTCTATATCATGTAGATGGGGAAGGAACAATCATGGGCAACTTGCTCCTTGCTCTGTGATGCTGGTTTCAATGTACTCTCTATATCAAGATATAGGGACGCAGAACTTATGGGAATGCCCTGTGTGAAGTGACGTTGGTTCTCAACTGAGTTGAACTCTATCAAAAAGACTGAGATGGAGCAATTATGGGGAATGCTCCTTGAAACTGTTATTTTGGCTTTAAACCTAACTTTCCATACCAAGGTATGAGGGCAGAGCACATCATCTTTCTCTTCGTGTTTACCCACTGTAAACTCCGGAGGAAAGTTCTGGCTGTGCGTCCACTTCTGGATTCTAGCCCTGTTCCAGAAACTGAGTGCTGTGTGCACATTCGTTTCACAGGTCTGACTCATTCGCATGTGTACTGTTGGTTCCTTGCCTCTTACGCAGACACACTCTGATTTCCAAGGAATCTCCCAATGAATCAACTCGTACGACATGCTTTTGGATAGGCAGTGGATCTATTTTTGTCTTTCCCACAATGGAGCGGCAGAACCCTCAAGAAAAGGGTGGGGTGGGGGGGGGGGGGGGACTTAATGGAATAACCTTTGTGTAGTAATGCTGGTTTTCAATTTAAGATATGAAGTTGCAGCACCTATGGGGAATACCTGTTTTTGCTGTGATGTTGCTTCTCAACACATTTCTCTTTGTCAAGGATATTCAATTAAATTTATTAGAGACCAAAATGTTGGGAAAGAAAAGATCGTCATGGGCCCGTAGCCTGAAAGCCTCTACGAAAAGATCATTATTTCAATAAACTGACAATGATCCGCAGGTCACTTGCTTCGCTTCTGCGGCCAAATTCAGCCCGGCTGACGACTAGCCCTGCTCCGTGTCAATACAGGACAGATAAAATAGCTACCAATAAGGAAAGCACTGTTGTCCAGAATTTGGAAACATAAATCATATATGGCAATGTACAGAGGTAACAAACAGCACAAAATAAAAGCAAGCGTAAAGTAATCTAGCATTTAAAAATGAAAACTGTGAAGCCAATAAAATATGTGAATATAGAAGACTGTTGAAGCAATGAAGAGATACATATGTGGATATAGTATTGAATACATATAAATATACTGGAAGGAAACAAAATCTGTTCACTTCAGAGTAATCTCTGATGCTTGTTATTCAAGAAAGTAATATAACATTTTTTTTTTGGTTTTTAATATATATATATATTTGGGTTTTTTTTTTTTTTTTTTTTTTTTTTTTTGTATTTTTTTTTTTTCAAATTCAGGTTTACATTTTTTTTTTTTGAGTTAAACATTTTATTAGGAAAAACTGAAAAATCTGTTTTTCATGTCTGGTCTTTCCTGCCTGCACATGGTAATATATCCTGTTGAGCACCGCATACTCATCGATCCACAATGGGCGCTGCCTTTAATTCTGCCCATGACAGACTCTCTTACTTGTCCTATCCTCCACTCATCTCTTCCAGCATACACCACTATCCCACTTTGGTCATCATTATTACCTTGACACCCACTGACTCAAAGAAACACAATTCAGATGACAATCCAAATGAACAAATCCCAGATAAAACATCCTTTGACAGCCTTTGGTTACACAAAACCTACCAACCATAATGCTTCATTCCTCAACACTATTTAGCCACAATGCCCCATCAATTCCAGGACATGTTTTTCAATTCCTACCAAAAGACCAAACAGAAAATAAAACAAATAACTTACATAAATGCAAAAAGTCATAACAAACACACGAAAAGTTAATGAAAGTAAACAAAGCTATTTACAGCAGTTGAATCTGACGGATGGATAAAGAGAATAAAATACATTGTGCCTTCAACATATAAAAGAACTGTATCCCACTTTCCCCAAGGGCAATCACTCTAAAACTATAAATTTACTGTGGAGGGTAAAAAGGGGGCAATGTTTCAAGGAAAAAGAGTTGAACAAATCCAATCAATTAAAAACATTTTTCTTATATGAGAATACTAAATCCTGCTCAGACACCATTTCTGATTTCTAATGATACTCTTGTGCCTCAAGAACATTCCTGCAGCATAAGGTTGTTCCATTATACTTTTGTCACTGCCCATATTCTTTCTAATTACACCACATGTTTTCTTTATAGTAGTATAATCATGAAAGCTTTAGCATAAAATTGCACATATCACAATGTTAATTTACAGTTGCCTCTACTGTGGATTTTACACATCAAATAGTAGCTCCATTGGCAAAATTCAGCAGTTAATATTGAATCAAGGAAGGAGATGTCAATACTAAACATTTTAAGAAGCGATAATTCCACGATAAATGTTCACATGAAAAACATGTCCAAACCAACTTTTCTTATATAAAAATCTTGTATGCTAAATTTTGTCATAACATAAAATTTCAAACCCACCCACCTCCAATGTAAATCATTAATTTCAACCATTAAAAAATATTTTTTTTAGCAGTCTAAAAATCACACTGACAGAAAAAAAAAGTTCACATTTAAATGATCTAAAGAAAATGCTGCATCATTAATACTTTCAGTACCACAGAAAACATCACGCGTTAATTTGTAACCAATATAATTTCCTTCTGGTACCGACAGAGTTAAAAAAGAACTAACAAGTGTTGAATTTCACCTTAAACATGGAAAACATTCAAAGTTTCAGATCTATCAATTATGCTTCTTCACTGTTCAAGTTTTGTTGTGCTTGCTTTTTTAAATTTTTGTTTCCAAATGATGTCAAGCAAAGTGCTCGTCTTTATCATCAACATCTCTCCTTGTCCAAGAATTTTATTTTCCACCTGAAAAGTCGTATTTAGGTGATAACTAGGCAGACTGTTTGCAAGAAAAGTGGTATTTGAAGATAACTAGGCAGACTGTTTACAAGAAAAGTGGTATTTAGATGATAACTAGGCAGACTGTTTACAAGAAAAGTGGTATTTAGACGATAACTAGGCAGACTGTTTACAAAAAAAGTGGTATTTAGACAATAGCTAGGCAGACTGTTTACAAGAAAAGTGGTATTCAGAGAACAACCAAATTTTACTGAATTGAGGTGTTTTTCATGTAAAAAGAATGCCTTTTTTTTTTTTAAACAGCAACTGTATATTGTCAATCTGTACATGTGCCAACTGTCAGAGCACTCATCCATAAACATCCGGATGCTGGCTAATTAAATAATATGGTCAAAAACAGAAATGGGCTTGTCTATCCGTGCGTGCGGGATCTAATTAAGGTGGCAACATAACCACACACACACAAAATGAAAACTAAATGCACTCGTGAACAGAAAACTGGTGCCGACCAGGATGACAATTCTCAAACTAGAGAGCGGCAACTTCTGCTGCCGACTTTTGGAGCGATGCCCTCGAGGGCTTGTAACAATTCCTGCCCCTGTAGAAGGTTTGCAGCCTGGGTTGGTGCGTTGACCTCACAGTCTTGACGAGTCAGATTGGGCAGAATGATCTGTTTGTCAAAGATAAATGTCATAAATAATCATTTTATAATTTCACTAGGAATCAAAGAAAAGGACTTGTTTCCAAGTTTCCAGATGTACGTACTATAGTGTACATGGTGCCAACCCCGTATTCTTATAAACCAATGTGGGAATTGCTTGTGTGACATAATCAACATCAAGCTATTTTTTACTTCCCAGAATACTTTTTGTACCCATTTTTAGGCCACTAGGTCAATCTTTTAAAAACCTGCTTAGACAGAGAATACAATATTAACCTTTCAACTTAATATATTTGTTGTACACATATCTGTATTTATTTATGTATATTCCCCATATGGGTTTGGGATCCTCATTTTAGGCGGGGAAAACCGAAATAGACCCCAATCCACCAAGCATGTTGAAGTGCATCTACACAAAAGGCAAGGAACCAGCAGTCTGCATGACAATAAACAAAACTTATGTGCACGAAAACTTAGGTTCAGAAAAAAGACTAAAGTCTAGAAGTGAATAGTCAGCCAAAACTTTTCAGAGTTTTCAGCCAGTGAATGCTAAGAAGACATTATATGTATAGGTTGGTTGAGTGGATGGTTGGTTGAGTGGATGGTTGGTTGAGTGGATGGTTGGTTGAGTGGATGGTTGGTTGAGTGGATGGTTGGTTGAGTGGATGGTTGGTGAGTGGATGGTTGGTGAGTGGATGGTTGGTGAGTGGATGGTTGGTTGAGTGGATAAGTAGTAAGTGGATGGTTGGTTGAGTGGATGGTTGGTGAGTGGATGGTTGGTGAGTGGATGGTTGGTGAGTGGATGGTTGGTTGAGTGGATGGTTGGTTGAGTGGAAAATTGGTGAGTGGATGGTTGGTGAGTGGATGGTTGGTGAGTGGATGGTTGGTGAGTGGATAAGTAGTAAGTGGATGGTTGGTTGAGTGGATGGTTGGTGAGTGGATGGTTGGTGAGTGGATGGTTGGTGAGTGGATGGTTGGTGAGTGGATGGTTGGTTGAGTGGAAAATTGGTGAGTGGATGGTTGGTGAGTGGATGGTTGGTTGGTGAGTGGATGGTTGGTGAGTAGATGGTTGGTGAGTGGATGGTTGGTTGAGTGGATGGTTGGTAAGCGGAAGGGTGGGCTGGTGTGGGTCTCTCCCCCTCCTCCTCTCCACACACACACACACACTGCTAATTTTTTTTTTACAAATTATCTTGTATCAATATCCACATACATCTCCTTCCATATCTTTTTTGTTTGTTTGTTCCTATTCTTGCTGTACTATTTTTTTTTCCAGTATAACGCTCAAAACTACTATGTGAATATGACATTTCTGGATCCAGCAAAGAATTCTTCTTTTTCATTTTTGCTCACTGAAAAAGACTGACTGAAACATTCAACTTAATTAGCCTGTGCCTTTTGTTTATGTAGGTTCCTAGTCACATTTAAAAGTAACTTTACATAAACAAACAATACGTTTAAGAGATTTAGCTTTGAACAATCTTCTTCTTCAGCGTTCCGAGCCCTTGAGGTTCATTGCTGCAGATAACACCCGCCTCCAATCATCTCTATGGTTGGCCTTTTCTTTCCAGTTGGTGACACCAAGTGTTTGTAGGTTTGAACAATCAGAGAAATTAAACATTTTGTTTTCATAAAAGACTAATCTACCACATAAACCAAATTTATCGGTATATTTAAAAAAAAAATTAAAGCTGCTGCTCACATAATTAGAATTTAAAGAAAAACTAAAAAATTTCACATGCCATGAGAAGGGGAAAACGAGCATGTCATGAAAAGGGTATGTTCGAGGGAAAAGAGAACTAGAGGGACACCAGGACAGTTTAGCATCATAGTATGTAATAATATCTGCAACCATACACAAACTCATACATTCCTTTTTATGCAGGCCAACACAAATACTCTTCCTCCCATGCTTGACTACACATGCCCTCACCTGATAACAAGTTTTGCTGGGATCTATCAGCATGTTGCTGACCTTGTAGCCGTAGTTGCGATCCTCTCCTTTCATCAACAGGTTCAGCAGAACACTGTTGCTGGCGCTCATGGTTTGTCCTATCACAAAGAAACACAGTCAATTCATACAAATGTCAGAAACACAGTCAATTCATACAGATATCAGAAACACAGTCAATTCATACAAATGTCAGAAACACAGTCAATTCATTCAGATGTCAGAAACACAGTCAATTCATACAGACATCAGAAACACAGTCAATTCATACAGACATCAGAAACACAGTCAATTCATACAGACATCAGAAACACAGTCAATTCATACAGACACCAGAAACACAGTCAATTCATACAGACCTCAGAAACACGGTCTATTCATACAGACATCAGAAACACAGTCAATTCATACAGACATCAGAAACACAGTCAATTCATACAGACATCAAGGCAAGACATGAATTGTGCAGTTGTATGCCAGAGTATTTAAAAGCCAGATGATTTATTTCTTTGTCCTGAATTTTTGCTAATTCACAATACATTCATACAGACATCAAGTAAAGTAAAGTTCCCTTTTCATGCCTTTAGGCGCATCGGGCATATGGGAAGAGCACCTATATTTTTACAGACCAATCGGCACTCGGTGGGTAATGTGGTCAGCATTACGCCGGCCGTCTTTACTTTCCCAGGACAGCCATCCTGGTACCCATTTGAGGCTGGGTCGACCTGCGACATCCCATATCCGGATGAAAATCCACGCCAGACATCAAGGCAAGACATGAATTTGTGCAGTTGTTGTATGCCAGAGTATTTAAAAGCCAGATGATTTATTTCTTTGTCCTGGATTTTTGTTAATACACAATAGATTCATACAGTTGTCAAGGCAAGACAGAGATTTGTGCAGCTGTTGTATGAGAGAGAGTATATAAAAGCAAAATGATCAGTCTGAGTGCACTAGGTTTTATCCTGGGTTTTGTAGATTCACATAATTCTCAAGGCAAGATAGATATAAATTTGTGTAGTTGTTGTATGAGAAAGCCACCTGATTTATTTAATTGTCCTGGGTTTTGCTAATACACAATAAATTCACACAGATGTCAAGATATCAATTTGTGCAGTTGTTGTACAGTATGTAAGAGCAAGATGATTTATTTCATTGCACTGTGTTGTATCCTGGGTTTTGCTAATACATAATAGATTCACACAGATTGTGAAGGCGAGATTTGAATTTGTGCAGTTGTATGAGACAGCATTTTAAAGCAAGAGGATCACTTTAACTGCAGTGGGTTTTATCCTGTATGGCCTGATCTCTTTGCACATAGTGGTTGGTCATTCACTGATAGCACGGCACAAACCACACAATCTGGAACACTAGGGATGACCCCAACGGATCTCTAAAACTCACCTAGTAACTAAATGATGCAAAGGTGACTAATGAGAGGTTTGCTGAAACTGGATGTGCTGGGCTGAAAGCTGCAGACATCACAGCCTAGCTGCTAACTACAACATCCCAACTATCCTTCAAACTCTTTCACACCATTAACACTCAAAGAAATGAGTCTTGAGCTTGTGGGGAACCCCCCCCCCCCCCCCCCTACCTCCCTCACAAAAAATTCTATTAAAAAAAAAACATACTTTACATGGGTCACTAATAAATTTTAAAAAATCTGTATTTACATCCCCAGCAATTTTTAGTAAGTTTATTCATAACTAGGCTTCCTAAACTATGCTCAGGTGTGAACAAAGACTTCTACTACACTTCTCACAAACAGTCACTAAAGACACAGCCGTTTAGCTGCCTTTACAGGAATGTGGCAAAGAAGGAAATGCCGAGTTCAAGGCTTCCCTGGGCTATGGTGTTAAGGATGCTGATGATGAAGAAGTAAAAATTCACTCAGCCCCAGGTGAATAAGGATCTCTTATATTAAAAAAAAAAGGTACTGCAGATTCTTGCTCCTAAATACCTTCTCTTGCAAACTACAAAAGAAAACTAAAAACTGCTATCTCCAGAGCGTGAATTCTGCATTTAATTCGGTTCTGACATCATCTGGAATTCTAAAACAAGGCTGAGTAGCAGTTCTTCTTAGACAATAACCCTAAAATATTCTTTCAAAAGACAGAGTCTATCATGTAAATACAAAGAAGGATAAAAACTATATACACATTTCTAACCTGTCTGTGTCAATACAGGACTGGCTGTAGTCCCCGAACGGATGGATACTGGTTCCGGGTTCAGCCGTGCAAGCTTCTTCTTCGGAGGGCCCTTTTCCAGGCTATTCATGTCTAATGGCCGTTTCAGCTGCAGGTACATGGTATCTGGCGGCTGCTCAATGCTAGCTACAGCAGTGCTGCCACCTAGCATGTCTCGTACACTCATCTTTGCTGGCTGTGGAGGTTCCTCAAAAAGAGACTGTTTCGACTGGAACACAGATTCAGTAAGCCCAAACAATCTGTGGACAGAAACAAGGACCATATTCTTCATACCAGCCGACTGCAACCTGGAGGGTGCAATGTGTTTCAAGGGTTAGCCTCAAGCAATTTTGAAAGTGAGTGCTAATGTTAAAATGAAATGCATTCCTCTTCGATTTTCAAATATAAAGTTAACTGATAATGGTATGTATGCCAATGACAACAGATAAAGAGAAACAAGAAGCATTTTTGGATAGATTTATAGCCCAAACTGATCATGATGGGTAACTTAGAACTAGAAATTCAGTTTGAGATAATCTGTCTAATACCATAAATGATAATTATTTTCAGGATGATAATTATTTGTAGGGTATCATTAGGGTGCAGGATATAATATTTATAATGCAAAAAGCAAAAGACACTGCTTCAGGGTCAGATGGAGTCAGGCATGCACACATGAATAGCATGAGGGATGAAGACTTGAGGAAGATGGCTTTTCACTTCAACCAGAGCATCAGAACAGTTTCAGTACCTCAGGACCAGGTAAACAGCTACCTAACCCCATTGCCAAAGCCAGGCAAGGATCGTTCCAGACTCAGCAGTTTCAGGATTATCACTCTCTATAAAATACTTTTGGCAAGGTGCTGTAATTGCTGTTAAAAATGCACGTGTTTTTGGAAAGGGAAGACCTCCTGCCAAAATGTTTGGGTAGTTAACAGGCCAAATGCAGCTACTCATGCTTTTGATGTTTATGATGGGTTCCAGAATAGACAGGAGATGGCAGGGGCACCACTTCATCTTTAGGATGCCTACAATAGAGTGGGTCAAAGTGTCACAGCAAGAATCCAACTTTAGGCTATGAGTGCAAGGACTGGCAAGCCAGTGGTGCAGAATCAGGAAGTTCAACTAATGATTCACGACCATTCTCGCTGAGGTTATGAGATTATCTATAGAAATGGCACTATGTTAAGAGGCAAAGGAAGTGCATGGGGGTTCTTGGCAAAAGTGAATGGACGTCCCTTAGTGCAACAAAACCTGGCCGATGATATCACAACATCTAGGTTGAGAACGAAGGTGGAAGCAGTGATCACTGCTGCTTTTGGCTGGGCTGAGACCCCCCCCCCCCCCCCCCCCCCAACCTCCAAAGGGCCCTGTAACACATACAGGCAGTAAGAGTATTGAGTCAAGACTTACCCAGGATTAATCTCTGTGGTGAGATTGAACAGTACATTAGAAGAAGGAGGCAGCAATCCCAGATCCTCCTCCCCATCCATGGGTATATAGGGAGCCCTCATGTCAAAGTCTATGTCTTCTATATCCCTCTCTTGCTCCGAGGTCTTAATTGACTGGAAGAACTTGTCCATGGAGTCCACAGCTTCCGGCATGGCTAGATTCAGGTAGTCACTGGGACTGGCAATCTGCAGGCAGCCAATCAAGTTTCAATGTTAAAGGCACTTCACAAACTCATAAGCATCATCAACATGAATGTTAAATCTTGAAGTATAGAGCAATTTAAATTTAGCATGAATTTATTGGTAACTTAGCAAACCAAAACACTGCTCAACCTAACAAAACAAAACAAAAACAAAAAAGGGGTCAACACATTAGTGGAATTCAAGAAAAACACTTTAAAATATTTTTTTTTTTATTTAACACACATTTTTTAAACAATTTATTTATTTTCATTAATATTTTTTTCTTTTAAATTGAAACATATAAAGTAATAGGAAAGAAGTAATCACTAAACATGAACAGATGAAGCATTAAATGGAATACATTCCCTAGAGCCTAAAAAAAAATGTATGAATTTGGAGACTCATGCTGAAACTCAGAAGACAACTTGACATTTACTTTGCCTTAAAAAAAAAAAACTATATGGCTAAAAAAAAAAGACCCAACAAAGTGCTACTGTTAGTTAATGTATTCATATCCTGACTTTTTAAACATCTGTACAGGCAGAAAAACAGCCACAATCATTAACTATTTGTCAAGGAAACAGGGCACTACAGATAAGCAGGAAAAGTGACATTTATAGAGAATGTGTCCCAACCAGACATGTCAGTTTTGTAGCTTCTCAGGGTGAATGGGCTAACGTGTGTGACATTACCTAGTATAAACATGGTAGTCATTGCAAACCCATAAGGCCCAGTCTCTGTCAGCATCCTCATCATATTCTATATAATGATGATAAGTTAGTTAGTAAGTTAGCCGAGATATGATCACTGCACTCCAGACATGTCCATAGGTGCTCAGACCCTTCCCGCAATATGAACCCCAGTGTCCTGTGACTAATAGTGCCAGTTCTTTGCTGATTGATAAGTATTTCTGTACGCTCGGTGTGTCTCTCGCTTTTGGCTATGCTGATCTTAACTCCCCAGTCTTTCATTCTGACGAGTGATGTGGAATCACTGTCTTGAAAATCCTCCACCATTTCCACTTCTCTGAGATCAATAATAATATGAGCATGATCCACAGGTTGACCTTCAGCAGTGACAGCTGATCCAGCCAACTTATCAGCCCTTTCATTTCTACTGACGCCTGCATGCCATGGAATGAAGATAAAGATGGCGTTACACACAGTGGACTTCTGTAATGGCTCAATCCACTGCCTTCACACAGAACCTGCCTGGATCTTCCGGATCATGCTCACGGAATCGCTAAGTACACATGCACGGGTATAGTCTTGTGTTCTTAGCCATATGAATGCTTGCGCCATCACCTCCATCGTCATGCTCCTTGTTGTCATGGAGAAGGCACAGCTGGCTTCTTTGACTGCAATGATGTTAAGTATAGATTGCCACTGTTTGCAACCTGACATAATCACCAATCTCAGATCAGGCCTATGTTCTTTGTCCCAATTATACTATATGGCCAAGCCATCCCATCCAGTTTGCAGTTATCCCTAAGATTTAAATGTTGGTGGTGACAAGAATGGAAAGACCAAATACATAAGTATGGATTTTAAAACTACAAAAACACAAAACCCAGAATTTCTGGTTATTTTCGGTTTGTGCCACTGGCCTGTAAATGTCTCTTTCATAGCTTGCTATACAGGCTTGTTTACGAGGGTAACAACTAACAGCAGTGCATATTTTTTTTTTGCAACTTTTTTAGAATGATGGGGAATGAGTATAATTGCTAACAATAGCAATAATGTCAGGGTATCCTTTTGGATAATGGCTTATTTATAGAAATAAGGACACCAGAATTTCCCAAAAGTTACAGTGGTAACTGGGGGTCGGGTCACAGATAGAGAAAGGATTATGCTAAAAAGTTTTTGCAAACTCAGACATGTAAACCAGTCAATTCTCTGCTGTATTTGTGTTCATTTATAACTCCTCCAGTTACCACATCAAAGTGTTCGAGAAGGGGGGGGGGGGGGAAGAGATGTTAGGATCATCTGTGTGCTCTGGGTAATGGGTCTATTCTTTGTTGTTCTACAAAAACAGAGCACAGGAACACACAAGTGGACAAACTTTTAAACTAATAATGTTGAAAAAACAATATAAAATTGATAGAACTTTAAAAAAAAAAAATTGCTAATGGGCATAGATGTAAACGCTACACAGAAAACTGGGCCTTATGCTCAACAAGGAACACAAACTACTACTTACTCTTGATGATGAGTTGGAGGACAGAGCGGATGCTGGCGATGCATCTTTGCGATAGCACATGTCTGGAGTGACTGTTCCAGGCTCCTGCTTCAATGCCGAACTGGCTGACAACAAAACTGTGGACAAACAGGAGTCAGGTTCAAGGTCAATTTCCCCTTTCTGTCTTTAGAATGTATAGTTAATTTCCCCTTCTATAATTCAAATGTATAATTTCTTTTTTCTGACTTTCAAAAGTATAATTAATTTCCTCCTCCTATCTTTCAAATGTATGGTTAATTTTCACCTTCTATTTTCTCAAACATATCCATCATCTATTTTCAAATATAAAGTTAACTCTTGAATGTTGAGAGCCAGTAATGAGAAGCATGTATTCACACCCAGGAGTTTTCATCAACTCTTTTGTTTTTCCAGGTTGTACCATCCAAATGTTCCCTTTATAACTGTTTTACCTTGTTATTCTTGTTCTGCATTTTCTCTCAGAATGAAGCAGTTCTTCTTCTTCTTACTGTTCACCAGTTGTAAATTCTGTTGGAAAGTTCCGTGCGTGTCCAATTCTCAACGTAAGTCTTGTTCCAATATTCAAGTTTTGCATGCACATCTAGTTTACAGATCTGAATTATTTGTACATACTGTTGGTTTCTAACCTCTCAGGCTGATATATTTCAACTTCGAAGCAAACACCCCTAACTTGTCGCCGCTTGTGACATGCTTGTTAGCAGGCAGGGTGTTTATTTTCTTCGCATCAACCCCCCCCCCCCCCTTCCCTGAAGGGCTCTGAAACCAACATAGGGATATGTGTGAAGTGCATGATTTTGCAGCTTAAGCTTTCTGCTGGATGAAGTAGCCAATCTCATGCCATCCATCCTTAGCAGCTTCTTATGACATGCTTGGATTGTTACAGTATTACTATTCTCTGCTTCCCTTATGAGCCCCAGTAAAACACAGTGATACCAGGAGGTCAGCGAAAGACAATTACAATAAGGCCATGGAATCAGAGTGTACTCACTGTCATATCCAGGAAAAGTGGGAAAAGTGAGAGGAATTAACTCATCGCCAGCATTAGGTGCCAGATAAGACAGGTCTTCTGCATCGCTGCCTGGGACTGGAAATAAAATTGGTGAGAAAAAAAATTAAAATACTAAACACAGAGGACATCAGTACAAGTAAACCTTCTTGAAATCTCAACTCTTTCAGGGCCAGCAACTCACTAAGAGTTTACTGATTACTGAATTAGTTGGTGTATAAGGCACAATTTTTTTGGGGTTCTCAAAACAGGCCTTAAAATGAGATTGTGTCATCAGTAAAGCTGCAGAACGTCATTTCACGCAAAATTAACAAAGGAAAGCATGCACAAAACAACGTGGAAAGTGCAAAATGACAAGAACCCATGCCAACCCATTACAATTAGAATAAACAATCTTGACTTCTACTTTGAATAACATATGCATTGCGTAACTTCTTTTATCAAACTGTTCTACTGCATTAGCCCATTCTGCCACAGTTGTTATTTGAAGCAGTATGAAACATACTACTCCAGCCCTCAATAATAAATCGTAGGATAAAAATATTATTTAGAAGTTAGTCGCATGATCTCTCCAGGACACTGCAGAACCGCGGGACTTTAGTCTTGCCCCAGAGCCTCAGTGTTGCATGCATATCTGTTTTACATATCTGACTTATTTGTATGCAGACTGCTGGTTCCTTGCCTCTCAGGCAAATGCCCTCCAATTTTGAAGGAAGCCCCCAATTAGTCGACTACTAAAACACGCTTATTGGGGAGGCAGTAGATCTATTTTTATTTTCCCCTAAATGGGGTGCTAGAGCCCACACCGGAAGGTCTCTGCTGGTATGACATACTGTACTCTTGCACTCAACAGAAAATCTTAAGCTTAACAATTAATCTAGAGAACTCACAAATTGAATTCTTGATCTCTGGAGGTATGATATACTCCTTGTCCATGTCCTTGGTCTTTGGAGCAAATATGTTCTCTGTGCTGAGTTCGACCTTTGGGAGTACACGTTCAGAGATGGAGGCTGCTTCTGTTGGGCACTGTATATGGGACAGGATCATGCCGCTGTCTTCAATGCCACTAAAAAGAGAGACAAAATGATATATCATAAAGTGAAGACGAGGCCAGTGTCTTCAATGCCAGTGGAAGAAGAGACTGGGTGATAGAAAGTGGAGATAAAGCCAGTGTCTTCAATGCCACGGAAGGAGAGACACAATGATATAACAGGAAGTTTAGAAGAGGCGACTTAGATATGCTCAAGTAGTACTGTATATGAGAAAAGATCATGCCACTGAAAGGAGAGACACAATGATAGAAAAGAAGTGGAGATGAGGCCACTCAGATATGCTCAAGTTGTTCTGTTCATGGGACAAGATCATGCCATGAAAGAAAAGACAGAATGATATAACAGACAGTGGAGATAAGGCCACTGAGACAGGTTCGAGTTGTCCATGCTGAAGAATACATGTTATGAGAACTACGTGAGCAAGATGGCTGAACACTTGCCTACTGGACTAAAGGACCACCCATTGGCGGGGACCAGGTTAGCGCAGTCGATAGGAGGCTCACTTTCAAATCCAGCTGCGACTCACTGCAGCCCTCGGCCGGTATTCAAAACCGGGTGGTTTCCGGGGTTCACCCAGCTTTTAAGAAATGGGTACCAGAATTGACACTCTGGGGTAAATGGAGGAATGTCGCTGTAGCTACAGAGTTACGTGCGGACGGCGATACAGGCGGACAAATCTTATCAATTGTCTGTACTGGTGGCAGAGCACTTACAATGACGTGTGCAATGACGCTGGTTCACATCTCATGACTTTACCTTTTTACCATTAGGTGAATTTGTTATAACTGACCACGGGCTTTCCTGTCGACCTGGTCTACATTTTATAATAGGAAATGTTATGGGATGTAAAATCAGCCAGCATGATGTTGGCCATACCAATCTAGTGCCAGTTATTTCCCCATACTGGTGAGCTATCCCTTACATTCTCACGTACAGTGTAGTGGCATGCCAGATTTCTGTGAAAATGACTTAGGGAGTGAGTTCATTACATGATTCTTTTTTGTCCTCAAACACTAAAAACATCTGGCTTTGGCGGCATTTCCACCATATTATCCTTTCTCTCCTTAAAAAGCCACCTCTTCTGCATTTGATTTTTCCTTTCATTTTTATGGCTGACATAGTTAACCGGCTTTGATTTTTTTTTTTATGTTAAAAAAATTCAGTGAAATAATTTACCTAATTCTGGATTTCCTTCCATATAGAAACATCTAATTTACTGAGGACTGGGCTATTTAAGTGGTAGCCCTGTGGGTCAGTTTTGGCTCATGGAGGCCTAGCAAGTGGCCTGCTTATCATTGCCAGCCTCTGGCTGTGACGATCCACATTTTCAAAAGTGTGGCCCCTAAACTAAGTTGAATAGCCCTGTTGTAGGAGCTGGATACTGAGGATTCATACAAAATCATTAAGTGAATGGACAAAGGAAAACTGCTCGCATAAACAAATAAGCCATGTCCAGGAGGGCAAAAGAAAGTAGGAGTATTATTATTATATATTCTTCTTTTTTCGTCTTCCTCTTCCTTTTCTTATTCTTCTGTTTTCACACTTAAAAGGATGACTAGCACACTATGTTGTGGTTAAGTTAGGATGTGATATCTGTGTATTTAATTTCAACAAAACCTCATTAGTCACCTTTGATGACAAGCTTTTAGTTGGCAGTTGTTGGCTTATTCTTGGCTTATTCTTGGCCTTTTCTTGTTTTACCTCAAAATGGCAGAAACTTTACAGAAAAAAATGAAGCGAAAAAAGCAGAAACAGAAAAGAAAAGACTGGCTCACAGATGCATACAGACATGCAAATATTTGGACTCATGAAATAAATTCTCTCAAAGACAAATTAAATGAATAAATGCATGTCTCCTACCTGAGTACATAGTGCACACACACCACTGACTGGGGCTTTTGGGTTCGGCTGTTGTTAATGATGGTTGCCTGGGTAACCACCCATATATAGCCTCCATGTCTTGCCAGGAAACGGTAGGAGCCTGTCATAGTTTGACCTTTAGAGAAAACTGAAGATGGACAAAAACCCAAAAAAATCTTCAGTCAATGAGGATATCACTGATATTTATCATTCATAAAGAATAACAGATTACTAACAGTATTTGATTAAATGAAAACAACAAATAATTAGAATGAAGCAAGCAAGGGAAAGAAAGAATCCAAGAAAACTAATGTAGGCTAATATATTGTAACCCTCCGCCCCAAGATGCTGCTATTAGTCCATCATTGCCCTCCATTTCCCAAAACAGAGAAGTAGCAAAACCAGCATTGCTGCACTGGCCAGTCATCGCCAAAACCTGAGTTAATGGCACCGGTTCTGTCTGCGATGGCAACATGTTTAGGAGGACTGGATACACTGGGAAGCAAAGGTGGCCGGCATGATACATCACCCTCTGAGTGGCGATTAGTCTAGAACCATACGCCAAATACAACTAAGGTATGAAATGGCATTTCTGAGATAACATGGATCAGATAGGGTACCCCGAATGCACTGATGTCACTTATAAAGAAAAGTAAGCCACCACATGGATCAGATAGGGTACCCTAAATGCACTGGTGTCACTTATAAAGAAAAGTACGCCACCACATGGATCAGATAGGGTACCCCGAATGCACTGATGTCACTTATAAAGAAAAGTACGCCACCACATGGATCAGATAGGGTACCCTGAATGCACTGATGTCACTTATAAAGAAAAGTACGCCACCACATGGATCAGATAGGGTACCCTGAATGCACTGGTGTCATTTATCAAGAAAAGTATGGATAACATGGATTAGATAGGGTACTCTTAATGCATTGATGTCATAAAGAAAAGTATGCCACCTGATGGATCAGATAGGGTACCCTGGTTGCACTGATGTCACTTAAAAAGAAAAGTATGCCACCGCATGGATCAGACTGGGTACCCTGAATGCATTGCTTTCACTTATAAAGAAAAGTATGCCACTTCTAAAATGAAGGCTGGCTGCAATGTATAAACTGATGAGGGAATATTACGTGGTGAAGCCCCAATCTCTTCCACGGTTTCACTCTCGTACCACTGTCTAAAATAAGAATGATCTTTTTCAGACAGCTCACCAGGGAAAGGAACCCTTGTTAGCACGGAGTACTGTACACCAAAACTATTTCACTAACCTCTAAGCCACACATTGCACTAATGTCAGCTTAAGCTAAATAATCTTCTTTACATTCATTGGCTGTAAAACTCTGGCACAAAGTTCTGGTTCTGGTCCACTTCTGGACTTTGGTTTTGTTCCAGAACTTAAATTTTGTGCGCAGATCCATTTTACAGATCTGTTTATTTTGTACGCAAACTGTTGGTTCCTCGTTTCTCATGCAGATGGGCTCTGACTTTGGATGAAAAATCTCTAATTAGTCGCCTTTACGACATGCTTGACACAGAGAGGCACTAGGTCTATCTCCTCTCCCCAAATAGGACCTGCTTGACACAGGGAGGCACTAGGTCTATCTCCTCTCCCCAAATAGGACCTGCTTTATACAGGGAGGCACTAGGTCTATCTCCCCTCCCCAAATAGGACTTGCTTGATACAGGGAGGCACTAGGTCCATCTCCCCTCCCCAAATAGGACCTGCTTGATACAGGGAGGCACTAGGTCTATCTCCTCTCCCCAAATAGGACCTGCTTGATACAGGGAGGCACTAGGTCTATCTCCCCTCCCCAAATAGGACCTGCTTGATACAGGGAGGCACTAGGTCTATCTCCTCTCCCCAAATAGGACCTGCTTGATACAGGGAGGCACTAGGTCTATCTCCCCTCCCCAAATAGTACCTGCTTGATACAGGGAGGCACTAGGTCTATCTTCCCTCCCCAAACAGAACCTGCTTGATACAGGGAGGCACTAGGTCTATCTCCCCTCCCCAAACAGGACCTGCTTGATACAGGGAGGCACTAGGTCTATCTCCCCTCCCCAAATAGGACCTGCTTGATTCAGGGAGGCATTAGTTTGATCTCCCCTCCCCAAATAGGACCTGCTTGATACAGGGAGGCACCTGGTCTATCTTCCCTCCCCAAACAGGACCTGCTTGATACAGGGAGGCACTAGGTCTATCTCCCCTCTCCAAATAGGACCTGCTTGATACAGGGAGGCACTTAGGTCTATCTCCTCTCCCCAAATAGGACTTGCTTGATACAGGCAGGCACTAGGTTTATCTCCCCTCCCTAAATAGGACCTGCTTGATACAGGGAGGCACTAGGTCTATCTCCCCTCCCTAAATAGGACCTGCTTGATACAAGGAGGCACTAGGTCTATCTCCCCTCCCCAAATAGGACTTGCTTGATACAGGCAGGCACTAGGTTTATCTCCCCTCCCTAAATAGGACCTGCTTGATACAGGGAGGCACTAGGTCTATCTCCCCTCCCTAAATAGGACCTGCTTGATACAAGGAGGCACTAGGTCTATCTCCCCTCCCCAAACAAGACCTGCTTGATACAGGGAGGCACTAGTTCTATCTCCACTCCCCAAACAGGACCTCCAGTAACTCATGAACCCACATGGGAAGTTAAACACTGAATGAATGAATGATAAGTTAGTTAACTTCAATAACCTTCTACCTGCTCTATTTTACTGACACTCTGGTATCAACAAACCAACCATCTCCCTACACCCAGCAAAGCTGTGCTAGGTCGTGACCCAATTCTGGGAGCCAGTCCCTAGATAAAGTACGGTGACCTTCACCTGGTTTCACTGTTTATCTCTGACCTTGAAACCCCACCAAAAATATCTCTACCCTGTGTAAGCCTCCAGCATATAAATTAAGCATCCTCTTTGTTTACATGACAACAGATTACAAAAACCATAACAACTTCTCCCAACAACAGAAAATCCTAAGAATCTTGAATTTCTTCTTCTTCTTAGTGTTGACTGCCTGTTCTGCAGAAAGTTCTGGATGTTTATCCCCTTCTGCACTTTAATCTTATTCCATTAATGAGTTTCGTGTCAACAGTTAGTCTACTTTTACAATATGCTTGTTAGGGAGCAGTGTATTCATTATTTTTCCCACAAAATGGGGCATCAAAACCCAGATGGGGACAACTTTAACTTAAAAACAATATGACTGAATACAGATGACAAAAGTGGTGATTAAAATTGATTGTAAGTACAGATTTTAATTAGCATAACAATTTAATTTCAGTAAAGAGGAGACAATAAATCTTTGGGAAAAAAATTTACAGGACCTAGGAAGGGAAGATAATTCCTAGTTTTTAATCACTTAAGCATTATCACCTACCCCACATAAGTATAATTATACAGTCCTGGCATTTCTACATTCCTATCTTTATCACTGAAGAGTTTGCAAATGAAGGTGGAGTGCAACCACAGGGTTCACCAACTTAGTACAGACCAAGTGACAAGAACATCTTGCCAGACTCATGGGTGATAACAGCTGTGTGTACTTTTCCCACAACGTAGAACGTTAAAAGAACAATTCATAATTATCATCATCATACAATCTGGCAATGACAAATCTGCACCAGTTCTGCTGTCAGTATCCTGGCTGTATTTTAATATCAGCAGTCAAGTTGTATCTGTAATGTCCTCTAACTCTTTTACTTTTTTGTTTAAACCTTCGCCTTAATTAATTTTGTTTGTTATATATATATATATATATATATATATATATATATATATATATATATATATTTATATATATATATATATATATATATATATATATATATATATATATATATATATAGAGAGAGAGAGAGAGAGAGGGGGGGGGGTTGGGAGAGCAACAGACAGAACAAGAGAAACAGAGACAGACAGACATGTGCACACATACAGGCCTGCAAACAGACAGATTTCTTTCTATTTTAGTTTAATCATCTTTCAATGTCTCTCTTAGACAGATCCACAAAAGCAGACCTTTCAGAAATACAAAGAAAAATAATGCACCACATCAAACTAAGATTTGTGAAAACAAAAAAATGTAAGCTATATATTTGTAATGTGGAGAAGAGAGCTGGAAAATGAAGTTAGGAAGATGGGGAGGACATGGGGAGAGCTCCATGTAATGGCGAAAGATAGAACGACTTGGCGTGGGTTGGTTGAGAGCCTATGCTCCATTGGGCGATAGAAAGGCAGAAGAATATATATGTAAACTAATGATTCTTTCACAAGAAAGAGGCTTTCATTAAGAAGATAAAGGATAAGAACATATTCACAGACATACAATCATGTTCAGCAGTGACAGCTCAAGCATACTTACGATCTTTGAATGCCTTGTCAATAACATCAGAGTCTAACGCATGGTGAAAGTCATACAGAGACTGTCCTATCATATCTTTACAACTGTAGCCAGCTAGTTCTTGGATTCTGGTGAGAGAAAGTCAAGTCAGATAAATAGTCACATAACCTTTTCCTCTTCCTATATTTTATAATTATTCCCTGTGGGGACCGGTGGCCGGAATACTCTTCCCCCCGTTGCTGTTCTTGTGGCTTGTGTTGAGAAAGGCTGTGGCCGAAACATCCCATTTTGTTTGTGCGAGTTAAGCGTCTCATTAACAGTTCAGTGGATTAATTTCTTTAGTAGTTGCTTCACTCCCCATATGGGTTTTTGAGGCCAATTTTAAGGGGGGGGGAGAATAGCCCCTCTGACCCTCACTCGTTTGAAACAATCATGCTGTAAACTGCGACCAATTATGGTTTTTCTTAAAAGTGGACGTGTGGATCAAAGGCACAGATATAGCAGCTTAGCTGTAAACCATAACAAAACATGTTTACTACCAAATTAAGGGCAAAGACAGAATAAGAAGAAGTGGTACAACTCACGTTTTTGGGCCCAGGGACACCGTGACTGGCCGTTCATTGATGCGTCTTAACCTTTCACACGCGCGACTTTCCCTAACAGGGGTGTCAGGTTGTCTTCACTGCTGTGATCACACATACTCTATACTACAGGGATCACGCATGCTCTATTTAACAGGATGTCAACAGTTTCAAAGACTTCAGATTATCTAGAACTGGACCTAATCTCTCCACCCATACCCAACAGACTCAATCGATGTCACAGGAAAGACTATACAGAAGACAACCTGACAAACCTACCACTTAGAGTATGCGTCTCAAAGGTTAAGACGCATCAACTAATGGCTAATTAGCATCCCTGGGCCCAAAAACGTGAGTTGTACCGAAAAAGTTAGTTGACAGAGTTTCCTCAGACCATTCAGTCTATAAGCATTTGTAGGGACATAAAACAGAATACACAAAAGCTGTGGTAGGAGAAAACTTCTGAATAACAGAAAGTTCCATTACATCAAATCAAACAATCGAATGAGAGGAAGAAAGACAAGCTTATGGAGAAACACTTTAAAATGGACATCAAAGGCTAACCTATATAATAAAATAAACACTTGCGAAATGAGATGACTGAGAAAAGCTGCCAACCTAACCATCAGAAACAAAGTGAAAAATGATATTATCCTACAGACTACGGGCACAACACCATGCACCCAATTCATTGAGAAGCAGAAAATCAAATGGTCTGGCCATCTCGCCAGAACGCAGCCAGAAAACTACCAAGAGGCACTACACATGAAATGATCTGATGTGAAAGCTTGAGGGTGGGTGCCCCATGAGATGGACTGATGACATTAAAGAGCTTCTATATCAACACGGAATGACAATAGCCATTGTTACCCATCAAGCAATGGATTGAAACACCTCTCCCTCCCCTCAATTAACAGCAAAAGTGGAAACTGATGATGATGATGATGAGTTAAGAATAAAGATATTTCCTGTATAAGGCTGTCAAATGATGTTATATTTTTAAACTAATAAAGACCGTTGATGAATTATTTGAACAGGGGAAAAAAATGAGGTGGAGGTGCAGAAAAAGAAAATGTTTCTAACAAGTTGAATTAGTTGTAGAAGAGCCACAGTAGATTGTCTGCCACAAATCTGTATGATGTCAAGGTGTGGTTAGAGTGCATGGACTAGCTAGCAAGCATAGCAAATTCAAAACAACTGATTCAAGACAATTCCTGCACTGGTGATGTGATTATCTATCCAGATGGCTCTGTGTTGAGAGAAAGAAGAAGTGCACATGGCTTCGTAGCAAAATTAAACACCTCTTAGTGCAACAAAGCCTGGAACATGATATCATAACAGGTAGTTTGAGAATGGAGGCTGTGACAGGCAGTGCAGCCTTCTAGTGGCTTCAGAACCAACTGCACACACGCCATGATTGTAATATATTTTCTTCAAGGCAAGAAAGCGTATTGGGAAATGTAACAGGCAGACAGAGTGGCTGATGCTGCATCCCCTGGTGGTACACAAGTGCATGACAAGCTATATTTATCAAGGCCCCTTGGAAGCAAGTGAACAATGCAGAGGCACGTAGATCATCAAGGTGTGAAGAGAATGGTGCAGTGGGGAAGGACCAGGAACTTGACTGATACTCAAAACTCAGGATAAAAGCAAGATGGACATACAATCCGACTACTACTGGTACCATCGGAACTAGAACTCTGCACTGCCTGCTGAAAGTGGGGATAGAACACTTATGGGAATGCCCCGAGTGCAATGATATCAGTTTGCAACTCAACACATGCTGTGGCTGGGCTTACCTGTCATCACAAATGAGGAAGTGCATATCCATGCCATGTTTGGACAGGAAAGTCTTGCTGTCCAGAGGAACTTCTATATTCACTGGGTGGGGTATAGGTTCCGCGATACCCACCAGGTAATGCAGATTGGTCTGGACCTGACACTGATCCAGGTCACTGTCCTGTGTTGTAGCTTTTTTGGCTATCAGGCGACCAGTGCACTTCAAAACCTGCAAATCCAAACAATTAGGAAATCATTTATTTTGTCGTCATTTCTTTACTTTCTAGGTAGTTTTTAGAAGAAAAAAGAAAAAAAAAGAAGTACAGAATACTTCTGACCCAGTGGAGCATCAAATATAAACGTAGGATGCTAGACTCAAATTTATACAGACCAATCATTACTCAGTGGGTGATATGGTCAAAATGTGGCTGAATTTACTTCCCAGGACATTACCTGGCACCTGCAGCTTTCTGGTGGCTAGAGAACAAGATGCATACACATGTTGTAATTGTAAAAGACACTGAAAGAATGCTGAGAAAGGTGAAAACAGGGATGCTTCGAGCAGAGTGGCAAGCTTCACTGGGAAGGTGACGGGTAGTGAGTGTGCTTTGGATTTTTTCTCAAGGCTATGCGGGTGTGGTGGGTAATGAACAGGCAGACAGACTGGCTGGATCTGCACCGCTGGGTGGTGAACTGATACACGACAAGGCATACATGGTCAAGACCCTTTGGTAACAAGCAACAGAATCAGTAGAGAAAGAGGCACCTGGGTGTAACCAGAGGGTTAGTAATGGAACTCTGCACTGGCTGCTGAAGATGAGGAAGGAGCACACATGGGAATGCCCTGAGTGCTGTGATATCAATTCTTGAATTAACTCAACTACATAGTACCTGTTTTCAAACCCACTCATGACAAAATACTTATAGTATGTATGAAGCTGAACATTTGGACAGCCACAATAAGTAATCAAGATCTGTTGAAAGAGGGGAAAACCCCAAAGACAACTTGATCACAAAGACCAGAAAGAGGCGGTGATCACTTCTTGGCCACATTATAGAAAGACAGAAACTGGAACACATGAAAACTGAAAAGATTTATGGAAAAAGAAAGAAAGGCAAAATAAGAAGATTATTAACAGCCTTCTGTCATGTCATGGAGGAGTATCGGCATAGGAACAGATACTTGCTGTCAGAGATCCCAAGCTGTGCTGTCTAAACACATAAAAGAAATAAAATCAAAGAAAGATCTAAGACTCCTCAAACCAGAATATAATAAAGAATTTACTAAATGGAACCCTTTTTTTTTTTTACAGACAACAAGAGTTCACAAAAGATGAATAATAATTGCAAAACCACACACAGCTGCTTTAAAATGTGAAAAACAGAACTTTAAAATCAACATTTACAAGACTGAAAAATGAAAGTTACAAGGCCCCTGATAATATACAAACAAAACATCCCCAGAGCAAAAGAAATCTCAGAGTTCAAATATCTATTCAGAAAGAACACAAGCTACAACAGATAGAATAGAGATTAAAACAGATGCTAAACGGCAAACACTGAAGCTTATCATTCATCTGTCACTTTCGCTCAAAACATCCATAGATTATGGTGGAGGTCAACTGACAAACAATAAACAGTAACTTCTTTCCAACACTTTGTTATCAGTGTCCAACGTGATGAATGTCAACATCACACTAGAGGAAACTCATCACTCACCTGTGAGATGATATGCTTGAGAAGGGCTGCTGGGGTCTCCTGAAGAGTTGTTGGCACCTTTTAATCTTCCCAGATGACAGTTTTTTACAATGCTGCAGGGAGGCGTGGGAATCACTCACAGTCCATGATGAAGGGGGAGTGTGACTAACAGGCCCCACAGCACAAAGACTGGGCGATAGTACAGAGACCATGCGTTTCCCATGCAGCATGATCCCTCTCTCGGCCTAAACACAATTATGTTTGGAACAAAACATGTTGGCAGTCTGACTGTTGAAGTTTCCCTCCTAGACCAGCGGCCAACCAAGGATCAGGGTCTGGTCTGTCTGCAATTTAATTGTTTTCATATTGCTATTCCGTGTCCTAGGACTGAAATTAATTTCCACCCCACTGTGCTCCTCTGCTCAAAGTTGTTGGCACGATTTTGCACATCAGTCTGAGTATTTGTCCAAACATTAGGCTTTAAAAGAGAATAGGTAGTACCAATTCAGAGCTGCATTATTAGTGCAGGTTAGTTGGAATTTTTATTTTCTGCCCCCGACAAACAACAATTTCCCCACTCCCTTACCTAGATTTAATCACAAATCTTCTGAGTGAAAGCCCAGGATTCGTACCGCTTGGCCAGCAACTGTTCTGATTACATAAAAACACAGCAAACAGAGAAAAATGAAAAACTGACCTTGTATGTAGCTGACTTTAGATTGGCATTGCGGCCCTTGGCGGTCAGTGTACACTTCATTCGCATGAAGAAGTTCCTGGTGTCCGAGGACGTCAGCTGGTGCTGCCCTTGTTTGATGGTCAGCATTTCTTTGATCTCGTCATGGTCACAGGGATGGCTGAAGTCAAACACGCTTTGTCCTATCAGCTCAATCTGCAAAAAAAAGAAAAACAGTGATATAAATGTCGGCTAATTCCACCACAATAATGCGTATATACACCGTCCTTTTTAGGATGTAATTTTTCATTATTTGAAGCCCCACCCTGGCTCTTGTCAGCGGCCGCAATATAGCCAGGCCATAAATATGGCCTAATGGCTGAACGCCGTTTCTAGGACCTCTCTACGGTGATCCTCATCCACATGGGGGCATATTGTGTCAATATTGTGTCATCGGGTGTTTATCGCTTGTGTGATGTCCTGGTGGGGTAGAAAGTCAGTCAGACAGCAGTTACTGCCAATGGGAGATGATTCTTCTTCTTTTTCTTCTTCTCTTCTTCCAGTTAACTCAGCGAAGTGTTTGGGAATGATGAAAAGTGGGGGGGGGGGGGGGGTGGGGGTAGCAGAAGTTTGTCTTCATTTTTGTGAGGTTTTTCTTGATGCATTATTTAATCTTTTGCAGGGACTTTCTCTTGCTCTTTGTTTATTATCTCTAGGTATCAAGGCATGTGGTTTTTCCACTTAACATCACACTGGGCTGTGATTCCAAGTTGTTTCCTTACTGTAACTAATGTAACTGTTCTCTGGCAAGAAAGAGTTAACAGTTCTTGAAGCTGGCTCTCCCAGGAAGTTGGTACCAGTTTATTCCCTTGGGGTGTTATGCCTTCACATGTTCTAGAACACATCATACAAAGTGGCTCCTTTCCTCATGACCTTTCTTTCCCATACAATTGCCAGAATATTCAAACAAGTGTGCGGTAACCATTGTCATTAGACTGGGTTCCCCGTGTGGGCTCCAAGGCCCCATATGGGGGTTGGGGGAAGAAAACCTGCTGCTCCTCTAACAAGCATGTTGTAAAAGTCAAACTAGTTAAAGGCTGTTTCCTTCAAAGTCAGAGTGCATCTGTCGGACAGGCGGGGAACCAACAGCCTGCTTACAAACAGCCAGATCTGTAAACAGAGGTGTGCATGCAAAACTCAAGTCCTGGAACAAGACACAAATCCACAAGTAAACGAACAACTAGAACTTTCTGACCCGGTTTACAGCTGGTGAATGCAAAGACTGAGCTGACCCTATTTCCATACTGTAAAAAAAAAAAATTATCCCAGTGTCAGGGACTGAGCAATGACCACCCTCTTGGCAGACAAGCACAATAATACTGAATTTGCCCCAACAACAATAATGGTAAAACAGTAATTGTCACAGCCGAGTAAAGACAGCTTACACATGGCAGGACATCATGGAAACCACTTATGCTGACAATCATCCTAAGTTTTTCTGTCTCAACACGGCTATGATCTGAACAAAGGAGACAAGATAACAAACGGCGCTATTTATCGAAAGACATATTTTGCTTCTTCTTCTTTCGTTCGCATGAAATAAATTGTCTATATCTGCAAAGCCGTCTCTTGTATGAATTTCACTGTCTTTTGTAATTCACTAAGCGGCCCGTAAAGTTTGACTTCCACAAGTGTCTCTTTTGGCCAAATGTTTTGCCTGAAAGCGTTGAATATGGGACCCACAAGTACACATGGCCGATTGGCCAATCTTATGTACTCCCTCCGCGTTCCAGTGCATTATTTTAAAGCTAGCTGTATTTTCTGCTTTTCTGGTTCTACGGGGCATGAGGGGGAGGCTTCGAGTATTTGAAGCTGGACTCTTTCTTCTTGTCGTAGGCCGGTAAATCGAACCACGTGTACGTGAGTGGGTCTCATGGTGGAAATCAAACTTATTAGCAGATATAGAAATATTCCCTGTTGCGTTTGTGCGTGGCATCCTGATTGCTGTGGTGCGCCTCCTGGCTGGTTGCCTCCGACTTCAGCACCTTGTTATGCTAGAGTAGACTGGGGTCTTACCCGTGGACTCCCATGTTTATAATGGGAGCGTGGCTCCTACGCGGTTACCGCCGCAAACACGTCCTCACGCTGCCATTTCTAAACCGGAAGTCCACACATATTTTGCTGTATCTCAACTCAACAATAGGGAAGAAATCCTAAGATTGTTTACATGTCCTCTACCAGATTAAAATAAAATACAACCTGAACTCAAATAATGAGATTAATAAACTTAAAAAAAACAACAACTGATAAGCAAGATTAAAGAAATCTCAACTCTAACTATTTCAGCTACAGAAGATCGCAGTAGTCCAAAAAGAAAAAATACAGGTTTAAGAAAACAAAACAAATGTATTACTTTCACAAGGGCCAAACAAACATACATTATATACATTATAAACATCTAGCATGATGCCAGAATTCTTCTGTATGCCATGACTAAAAAGTAATAGGTACAATGACATGTCACGATGGCTAGGACACATGATGACAGCCAGTGACATATGGTGCTTGGCTTGGCACAGAAGGTGTCATCAGTTCATTATTCACTAAAAATGTAAGCCACATTAGCACAGTGGCTAGTATGCCTGCATGGTGGTCTGGTGGCCGAATATTCAAGTCCACATCAAAGTATACTTTAAAACTGACCTGAGTTCCCAGATCGACCCAACAAAAAGTGGCTACCAAGAAAGACAGCCTGCACAATTACTGAGTAAATCACCCATCAAGTCATGACTGGTCAATTCAAAACATGGGGCTAGCTCAGATGCAGAAATAGAAACAGTATTTTTCTTTGCAAAATGAGAGTGCTGTCTTCATTTGACTCACTTCCCATCTGGGAATTTTTGTCTGAAAACAGTGTGGCTTCTTTTAATGCTAAAAGAGTACATATTTTCTGACCAAGCAACTTCTGCTGCATGTTTTGTTCTAAATGTACTAGTGTTACCTTTACTTCTGGAGTTAACAAGGTGGGCGGAGAGAGGGATCAAGCTGCATTGGAAAGATATGGTCGGCCTCTACAATACTCACTCAGGCTTTGTGCTATGGAGACGAGGAACTACATTACTAGCCTTAACTGACTGACTGATCTTCAACCACACCAGGACATCACACTGGTGACATAAAGTGCCATCATTCAGATGAGGATCATCAGGGAACAGGTCTTTGAATAAATAATAGAAGAAGAAGAAACACAGAAAGTTTTATCTTCTGTACCTGCAAACCATCTGACAACATCAGATACAAAGATAAACAAAACAGCAAATCATATGCAATGTCCTAAGATGAGGTAAGTAGAATACCTGTTGTAGACCCAAGTATCTGGCTACATTCTCGGACAGGTAAACGATATCTCCTTCCTGGGCCAGGATAAATGCGAAGCCTTCCAGTGCTTTCTGATACAGGTGATCAAACTTGTCTCCCTTGTTCTTGATCAAGGGCTTGTTTTCAGTGTCTGAAACAGGTCAAAGAAATAGTCACTACATACCGGGGCTATTCAGCTAAGTTTACGCGACGGAGGGGGGGGGGGGGTATGTGCGTGCGTGCGTGTCAACGTTTGTGTGTGTGTGTGCGTGTGTGCGTAAATGTTGAAAATGGGGATCGTAACGGCCCACAGGCCTCAGCAGAGAAAGGTCATTTATACAATACAACTGGTAGTGATCTCCGTGGGCCAGGTTGGCCTGCTGGCCACCAGTTGAATAGTTCAGTTATATACGATTCTCATTACGGGGATTTCTGATTCAGATTAGTAAAAGCATTTCAGTCTTTGATAAACCAGAGTTTGATCTGATTTCTGCAGTGAATGGTTTTGAAAAACGCTGCCTCTTTGGTTTTCGGTTCAAGTGTATGCGAACGGCACCCCAGAAGAGATTGGAACCTCACCCCATATGATTCACAAAGACGTGGATAAACACGTCTGATCTTCATTGTACAGACGGCACATAGCTACTTTTTTAAAATACTATTCTCTGCACTGCATAAACTTTACAGTGAACAAACGTCACAACAGTGCACTGCATGCTTAGGCACTTCCAATTGCACAGGGGCATGCAGTACATAGATTTACTGCAGGGGCATTCAGAAGTTCAAGCCAATGAATGGGTCCATTCATCTAGGCTACAACCAATCACAGAGATGAATGGAGGTGGGTAACCATCTGCAGGAAGAAATCTAGAAGAAGAAGAAGAAGAAGAAGAAGAAGAAGAAGAAGAAGAAGAAGAAGAAGAAGAAGAAGAAGAAGAAGAAGAAGAAGAAGAAGAAGAAGAAGAAGAAGAAGAAGAAGAAGAGGGGAAGAAGAGGGGAAGAAGAGGAAGAGAAAGAGGACGAACAGAAAAAAAAAGAGGAGAAGAAGGAAGGGAAAAAATAAAACCCTAACCTGCACAGTTCGTGGCGGTGACGACGGCATTAGCCATGCGGCCCTAAATCCTTAGAATCATGACCCCCCCCCCCTTTCTGTCAAAAACTGACTGACTGACTTTCTACCCCACCAGGACATCACACAAGCGATAAACACCCGATGACACAATGTGCCCCCATGTGGATGAGGATCACCGTGTAGAGGTCCCAGAAACCGCGTTCAGCCATTAGGACATATTGATGGCCGGGCTATTATATTGCGGCCTCCCGGCATGAGCTTCAAATAACGAAAAAAGGCACCATAAAAAGGACCGCAAGTTATATGATTCTCTGTCCAGCATGAATGAATGAATTTCTACCCCACCAGGACATCACACAAGCGATAAACACCCGATGACACAAAGTGCCACCATGTGGATGAGGATCGCCGTGGAGAGGTCCCAGAAACCGTGTTCAGACAATTGGCCATATTTATGGCCTGCCTATATTGCGGCCCCTGGCAAAAGCCAGAGTGTGGCTTCAAATAACAAAAAATTACGTCCTAAAAAGGACGTATGAGTATTATATGTCCAGCATTGCACTTGAAAGTAATAAATACGTGCAGTGTGTTTGGTGCTCCTGTGTTCACCGGCTGTAAATTCTGGCGAAAAGTCCAGGTTGTACAAGATCCGACAATTATGTGATAAGACTTAGTTAGTTAGTTAGTTATTCCTCTTGTGCCAAAGATGGCGCATAGGGCAGAGGTCATAGCTTTCCACGTCCGTCGGTTCGTTGCCACTTGATGTAGGTCTTGAGTGCGACTGAGACCTATGGTTGAGCTCTCTCTTGTGATGGTTCTACGGAGAGTTTCTTTTGGTCTTCCCTGTTTTCTTTTACCCTCTGGTGACCATATGAAGGCTTGGTGGGGAAGTCTCTGAATGTCCATTCTGAGTACGTGACCGATGTAATTCCAGCGACGCATTCTAATAAAATCAGACACATATTTTTGTTTTGTTTCCTGTCTTATAGATGTATTGGACCTAAAGTCCGACCAGTGAACGTTCAATAGCTTTCGGAGGCATCTATTCTCGAAAGCGACTAGTTTCTTATCGATTGATACTGATGATTTCCAACTCTCACAACCATAAGTTAGCACTGGGATCACACAGGAATTGAAGACCTTAAGTTTCGTGATAAGACTAATTCCTTAAAATTAAAAAAAAATCAACAGTTGAAGATATAACCTGTATCTGATTCACAGTAAGCCTCTTGTGCATTGATACAGCAAGTGGCATGATCTAACAAACACACGTTCTTCTGTTGTTATGGCCCCTAAAGTCGATGTTACGGCCCTTTGGATGTCATCAATATCGCTAAAGAAGCGTCCTTTCAATCGTAACATTAATTTTGGGAAAAGAAAATAATCACAGGGACACACATCTGGGGAATATGGTGGATGGCTGAGAACACACAATTGTTTGTGGGCCAAACATTCTTATTTTGATGACTCAACCCGCTGATGTTTTTGGTCATCAGACAACGAATGTGGTACAAACCGGCAAGCATCATTTTTCTTGACAAAGTCTTGACTAAAATTTTATGAATGGTCTCTCTATTAACACCAGTTTCATCCGCTATCGTCCTCACAGTAAAACAATGATCTTCTTGTATCAGTTCTCTGACTTTTGCAATGAGTTCATCATTAGGAACATAAATTTGGTATCCAGGTCTAGGTGCATTAGTAATCATTTTAACACCACATTTTATTCGTGAATACCACCTGAAAATGTGTGCACGAGATAAACAATTTTCACATAAACTTGTTGCATCAATTCAACAGTTTTAATGGCGCTTTTTCTTTTGCTATAAAAAGAATTAATGTTAGCTTTTTGCTCCGTCCTGATTACGTAACAATGCACCTTTGACTAGATCAACAAAATGGCGGCTTGTCTGTTGTCTGCCTATCGAGCGGTGATAAAAAGTTGCCAGATCATAGATGAATGTTGCCGCTTTGGATTCCACACTTTGCTTCATAGATGGCATTTTTGTTTTGGCCATAATAAAATCAGTCTCATTACTTAATTTTCGGACCTTGTATGTCCACTTCTGGACTCAGGTCTAGTTCCAGGACCCGAGTTTTGGGCCACATATGTTTTAAAGATCTGACTTATATGTATGTGGACCGCTGGGGCCTCAACTTTCAGGCACCTCAACGTCCACTTTGAAGGGAGAGACCCATAAATAGTCGCCTTTCACTGAATGCTTGTTAGGGGAGAATGGCTCTACCCCCCCCCTCCCAACACACACACAAACAGGGTCAGAAATCCACAAGGGGATTAACGACACTTTGTTTTAAGACCGGAGAGTGCTTCCCTCCATAATAAATCAGAACCTCAGAATTAGCCTTTAAGCAAGGATAAAGCGCAAATCAACTTTACAACTATGGTTGCAACAGGTATTTTGTATTTACACACGATATGAAGGCTAAAGAACTTCAGTCGAACCCATTAAAGCGGTTGTTGATTTAAAAAAAATTAAGTGGAATGGGAAAAGGAAGGGACTGGGAAATTCCCCTACGTCGCAGTCAGCTCAGTTCATGGTGACAAAAAGCGATAAGCAACACCAGCTACAGACAAAATACCAACTTGTTTATCTGTTTGTATGTGGCGGCGCGAGCAAAAAGCTATATTTCAGGAAGTAAACAATAATTCGACCACAGTAAATAAACGTCACAGTGGTTGGGAGAGTTAGGTGAGGTTAGGTTAGTTGTGTATCCTTTACAGGACGTTGCAGAACTAACCCCAACAGCCCCTGGCCGTTGTGTGGGTTTTCTAGGCAAATTTACGTCCAGTAGTTTGCCACTGCCTCTGGACGGTCGGCTTTCTTGATACCACTGTCAAAACCAACACAAGGCTGGGATCGAACCCGGCATTACGAAGCGTTCGCATCGACTTAGCCACATGTTTAAAGGATGCAGGAGAGAAGAAAAATTGGATTTCCCCCTCTTCCTTCTCTTCTTTGTATTTTCTTCGTCCTCTTCTTCTTATTCCTGATCTTTCTCCTCCTCTTCTTCTGTTTTCTCCTCTTCTTCTTCGTCTTTTCTTCAGTCAGGTAAACGTCTAGCGACACACCGCAGTAAAAGCAGAGACCAGCAAAGCCAGATTTATTTACTGTTCTAGCCAAATATGAAAAAAATACGATAACACATTTTACAGTGGTTATGATACGTGGCCAAGAAAACCACACGCTATACATTGTTTGGAATTAAACGTTTTAAAGATCCTGAGTAATAAAACACACATTTCTGGGTGTGGACTCGAAACACAAAATTAATGATCCTACCACTACAAACATCTTCAAAGATGAAGTTATCATAAAATACCCTATGGTTACGCTAATAATATCACAAATATTTATACATGAACTATAACTTGTGTGCTTCAAAAACAGGGGATCAGATCTGCCACATCCGTAAACTAGTTACAAATCTACAGTCCGCAGTCGAAGATCATAAAAGATTAAGCGGAAAAAGAAAGGTATCACAGCTCATAAAATAAGTCAGACTTTTGATGTTGCTAGTGAGCAGACGAGAAACCGATTACCTATCTATGCTATATATATATATATATATATATATATATATATATATATATATATATATATATATATATATATATATATATATATATATATATATATTCAGAGAGTATAAAATAGCATCAAAGATGCTAAAGAATGCGGTAGCTATCCATTAATTACTTTAGTCCATGTGAGTGTGAGAACCGCATAAACAAGGTAATTTTTATCATCAAGTAACAGGCCTTTCTTTGCTCCCAAGCAACAGGCCCTTCGTTGCTCCTAAGTAAACAGACCCTTCCTTGCTCCCAAGTAACAGGCTCTTCGTTGCTCCCAAGTAACGTAACAGGCCCTTCGTTGCTACCAAGTAACAGGCTTTTCGTTGCTCCCAAGTAACGTAACAGGCCCCTGGTTGCTACCAAGTAACTGGCCCTTCGTTGATCCCCAATAACAGGCCCTTCGTTGATCCCCAGTAACAGGCCCTTCGTTGATCCCCAGTAACAGGCCTTTCGTTGATCCCAAGTAACAG